GTAGGCTCGAAAAGCCAACTGATCTACAACTGCTCCTAATTCATTTGTTCATTTGTAAATCTCTAAAAACCTATTTTCTCCATGTAAAAGGCAAAATTATAAAATATGCAGCTAACTATAAAACAGACTTTTTGGAGGATAAGATCACTGCAACACATATAGAACAAGCAGAGAAGGCACTTCATAGACCATATCCCTCCACTCTGCTGGGATAACTCAACATTATTACAATGATGCAGGTGTCTGAATCTTTGTTGAGACTTTACTCTGCCGGATTGCACTAACTACAAAGCTGAGAAAAGAAATATTTTCTGTTGAGAAACTCCATCTCAGTAAGGAAGTCTCAGGCCAATCCACATTTAACAACTTGCTCTGAAAACTCTGTTCATACTTTGACAGCTGTGGCAAATTTTACCCCAGCAGCTCGGACAGACACAACATTCTGAAACAACCAACATCCAAATACAGTAACGCACAACATTCTAAAAATAATTTAATTTCACCTTATCTCACGGTGTTGATGGGTCATTTAAAAATCTCAACTTCCAATCTGCATCCAGATTGGCATATTGACAAAAACTAACTGCCGTAGTCCATTCTCTAATCTGTGTTCTAGAAATCTTAATCTTTGAGATATATTGTTTACAAAACAGAAACAGAGGTCAAAACTTTATCTCTGCCCACCCTCAGTGGTGGAGTAAAGGGCATGTACTTGGGGCTCAGCCTATGACTGAGCAAACTGGACTATGTAAAATAGTTTGTGCATAAGATGAATAAGAACACTTCCTAGACAACATTTGATGTGAGGGAATTCTTACTACTAAAGTGTGGCTGAATTTGACTCAGACTTGTTACTCAGCTGCCAGAAAAAGCGACCACTTCTAATGGTAATGTTCCTTCCATTAAAAAGAAAAAGACTTTGTGACTTTGCAGATCTTATTCCATATTAGACAATCGAATAGAAATGGACAACTTCCTATGCTTGCATTAGGGATGTAAATATTATTTATAATTTATCCATTTACACTATTCACATTATATCAGCTTATATGTTAAAAGATGTGCCTACCAAAATAAAATACTGATATTTTTTCATTCAGATCCGCAGTTTAAATTACAATCACTGAAGATTAAAAACAGCGATGAGTAAATCTAAAGGAACAACTGTAGTACTGTCTTACATAACTTGCTTACACATTACTAAAGCATTTCCAAAACAAAAGTAACTTTTCTGCTGCATTTGTCTGACATTTTACAATCTGTTTTAAACATTAACTGTGATATATTAATTGTAAAACTATCACTTATTAACCATTTAACCACTTACTATTTTACATACTTAGCTTCCATGCAGAAAGATGTATCAAGAATCTGTGGAGCTATTTTGAACCTGATTCCTAAAACTTGTCAAGGAAAGCTTAGGATCTCTGCCTGTCACTTCTATTGCTGATTCACTATGGCTTGATGGGTGTTATTGTGAACAAGAACTCAGAAAGAGCAGATAAATGTTGTTTGTACCCTTTCACGTTTTCTATCTTAGGATTCCCTTGATGGTCTGAATTTACGATATGGACATACATCTTGGAATTTCAGCAAAATCCGAACATCGGTGTCAACAAAATTGTACTCCGCATAGTAAATGAATGCTCATGTTGCCTTTTAATATTAAATCATAAAGTATCAAATCAATCACTGTTACCACCTCTCACCAAGGTGTTAATTTATTAGAATCACAAAATTGTTATGGTGCAGGACACAGCCATTCAGCCCATTGTCTGTGTCCCTTCACTGAAAGAGCAATTCACTTACTGCCATTCCCCTGAAACCCTGCACATTATTCAGTTTCAAATAACACTCTTAATCCATTTTGAATTGCACTGTATTTTCAGATACCTGTGGCTTTCAGGTTCGGGTAGATCATCGCCACTAATCCTCCTTTCTTTGTGCTGAGGCAAGAGCACGTATAATTATGAACAGTAGAAGATAGACCATTGGTGAACCTAAGCAGAAGAGGCATTTAGGTATCAACTGATTGCAAGATAGAAATGGTAGAAGGAAAAAGATAGTTTACATTACTAGTCAAGCATAATTAGTGAGGACTCTCAGGAGTTTTACAGAATATATTTGCCTCCTTCAGGTGCAGGTCTGAAGAACTGAATTGCCTTCACTCAAAGACATGGGACATCATCAAATCGGACTGATCTTAAGAACATGAATATAAACTCCTTCAGAACCATGAGACAACAGATTTGTATGGTTCTTGTGGTGTAGTGGTAATGACCCACCCCACCCTACCCACTATGGGGCAGAAGGTCCAGGTTCAAGTCCCACCTGACCTGGAGGTGAGACATAACATGTTAGTTTTAAATCTCAGATAGATAACTTTTTGTTAAACAAAGGAATTAAAGGAAATGGGCCAAAGGCAGGGATACGGAATTAGGCCACAGATCGGCCATCCCAGTGAATGGCAGAACTGACTAAGGGGGCTCCTGTTGAACATTTTGATTTAACCTGATTCCACACACCTGCAGGCAGTGAATTCCAGCACTCAACCACTCACTACATGAAAAAAAACTTTCTCTCATCTTGCCTTGGCATCCTTTTCCAATTACTTTAAATCTGTGCCCTCTCATCTTTGATCTTTTCTGTGCATGGCAATAGTCTTCTGCAATGAATTCTCTTCCCTCTTGCTACCATGCAGACGCTACATTCTGAAATTTCTTCCCTATAGCGCCATCTCTTTTTCTCCTTCTCTTTCTTCCACAAAATGTTTCTTAAAATTAAGCTTCTGAGTGTCTGCCCAAATTTATGTGACTCAGTGTCAAATTTACTTTGATAATGCTGATGAAAAACATTGTTTTTTATAGTTTGTTTTCTGTTCAGTGCTGATCTAATTACTTTACATTCCCTTATCAGCATTCCGCAGGGACCATTCCCTCCAGTACGCTCCAGTCCACTCCCCTTCCATTCCCAATATCTCCTCATATCCCCACGGCAATTGCAGAAGGTGTAATACCTGCCCAGTTATCTCCTCCTGTGTCACCATATGTGACCCCCGACATACCTTCCAGGTGAAGCAGTGATTTACCTGTCCTTCATTCGGTCTATTTTACTGTATTCGCTGTTCACAGTACAGTCTCCTCTACATTGGGAAAATGATACATGGACTGGGTGACCACCTTGCAGAACACCTGGGTTCTGTCCACAAAAAAGATCCTAAGCTTCTTGTTGCCTGCTATTTGAACACACCACCATGTTCCTATGCCAACATTTCAGTAGCAGGCCTGTTGCAGTTTTCCAGTGAGCCTCAGCACAAGCTCAAAAAACAACATCTCATTTTCCGCTTGGGGACGCTGCAACCTCTAGGACTCAACATTGAGTTCAATACTTTACAGCCTGATTCCATCCATCCATCTATTATTTTTTTACCCACCCACACTCAATCCTGTTATAACTTGGGTTGCTTTTAGTACAGTCACCATTCTCACATACACCAAAGCCCTTAATCACATTATATGGTATATACAACTCACCCATTTTCTCCTACTGTCAGTTCTTGTTACCACTTATTGAGCTTTTGTTTTCTATCCCGATCTGCTATTCATAATCTCCTAATTTAGCTATCCTTTTCATATCTGTCCCTCTGGGCTCCATCGTCACTTACCCATTCATCCTTCCCCTTCCCGTAACTTTGACTTCAGCATTAATACCACTTTTTTCCCAGTTCTGATGAAGAGTCACTGGACTCGGAATTTTTAATCTCCTTTCTTCCCACAGATGCTGCCAGACCTGCTGAGTTTCTCCAATTTGTTTTTGTTTTACATCTTCAGCATCTGCCGCCCTTTATTTTAATGCATTCTATTAGCTTTCCTGATTACTTGCTGTACCTGTGTACTCACTTTTTTGGTTCATGCATAAGGGCACCCAGATCCCCCTCTCTCTCAGAATTCTGTAATCTCCCACCATTTAAATGACATGTTTGTTTTAATCTTCCTGCCAAAATGGACAATTTCACATTTTCCACATCATATACTCCATTTGCTTTACCTTTGTCCAATCACTTAACCTATATGTATCCCTTTGTAGCCACTTTATGTCCTCTTCACAAATGACTTTCCCATTTTCTTATGAATTAGGTAAATTGATATGAACCTCTGATCCCACCCCAAAACTCCATGCAGAATGATCTCATCCCTGAATTCCAGGCTGATTGATAACCCACTATCACTCTGTACCTTTATATAAAACCATTAACTTTGGATAATATTATCAAGTGGATTAAAGGAGCATTGGATAAGATTTAAAATGAGACCTCACCTCTCTCATGACTTGTCTGCATGCACCGCATGGAGCAATGAAGTTGTCTGATTTATGACTGCAAGAAAGCAGAATATGCAGATTTATTAATTTAATTTAAATTCCCCTAGTTGCTGTGTAAGATCTGAATTCCTGTCTCTGGAGCATTCATCCTGGTCTCCGTGTTATCAATCTAGAGACACTATCACTATGCTTCTAATCTAATTTAAAATAATTCTATCCAGTTCTGCTTATACCAGAATTCCCCATGGATCTAGAATTACCACTTACATTCCCAACCCACTGCACAGAATTACCTGGACCCATTCCCATCCTAACTGTCTGTGCAACAGCAGCATATTCAGATCAGTTGGGAGCTTGAAGAAAGGGGTGCTTCTGTAACCTGGTCCAATAACCCACTTCCTCTGACATCTCTCTGATTTCCCCCTTTAACAGTTCTGCCTGCCTTCCTGTGTGAAAACTATTTCAATTTAAACTGTCTGTCTATTTCTCCACTTTAGGGTTTCTTTAACTAGACTTTAACTTAGCTTTAACTCACTAGACTTTCGATGGGCTTGCAACTAATGTTCATTATTGAAAGAAGAAGCAAAGGATCAAATTCCAAAGTGATGGGTTTGGGTGAGATCAAAGAGATTACAGAGGAGGGAAAACAAGGAGCTGTGACTATCTGAGGGCAAACCTTTGGTTTAAAGAACTTATTGTGTAAGTGAGGGAGATGAGGAACCTCTGGTTTGCGATCCAAGGAGAGATTAAGTTAGAATATGAAACAATGAGAGAACTGTTGACTTTGATATGGTATCTGGACTGCCCAACTTCCTGATGTAACACCACCGCGAGGTTCAGTCAGTGCCTAGAAATAGCCATTGCCTTGAATTTTCGGAAACCTTCTGAGATAGCCTTGTGAATGGCTGCCCTTTCAGCATAGACTCCCTCTGTGTAACATGCATTTTCAATGTTGCAGTCTGAGAAGGAAGAGATTAAACATATAATTATTCAAAGGCAAGAAGGAGGAGTAGCACTTCATTTTCAAATTAGGCATTTTATAACCTTCAACAACTTCAGGCCATGAACGCTGACTTCCATTTTGATTTTTTTTCCTCTTCATGTTGTATCTTTTAATGCTTCTTTCAGTCGGAGTTGACCCTTACCTTGCCATTAAGACTAGGTCTGAAATGATGCTTTGTCCTATAAATGATTTGGATGTGAATATCAGAGGTACAGTTAGTAAGTTTGTAGATGACATCAAAATTGAAGGTGTTGTGGGCAACCAAGGAGGTTACCTCAGAGTACAAAGGGACCTTGATCAGACGGGCCAATGGGCCAAGGAGTGGCAGATAGAGTTTAATTTGAATAAATGCAAGGTGCTGCATTTTGAGAAGGCAAATCAGGGCAGGACACACACACTTAATGGTAAGGTCTTGGGGTATGTCCTGATCTACACATCCCTGAACACTATGGACGGTTTGGCATGGCTAATCCATCTGGCCTGCACATTGTTGAGGTCAAGGAAAGGAAGGGAAGTGTGGAGATGGATTTGATGCTAGTATAAGGTAGGGGTGGAGGTTAGTTAGACCTTAGGATTGGGGTAAAAGTTCGGCACAACATCGTGGGCCGAAGGGCCTGTACTGTGCTGTACTGTAAGAGTTGTTGTTATGGTCTGTATGTGCTGTTGTTTGTCAACTTACAAATACCATGTTTTGTTTAGTTCACTGTAATTTACTTGGTTGCATGAAATGCATTTTAACATCTACGGAGAAGGAATTGTTTTGCACTGGTTAGGATTACTGTTACTGCGATTTGATCTAACGTTCAGGTCACTTTAAATGTAAAGTGAAGCCTGTGATTAGAAGCCTTGTATGAAATGCAATGGTTTCAGTACCCTCAACCTTTGACTGCGAAGGAGTCAGTTTAGTGCTCAATGTGATGTGCCTATCCTATCGGATGCCTTATATTTGATTTATACTGCGGTCAGTTACTTCAAATTGCAGCCTGTGTTTGAAATAAAACTTTAGGTATTGAATTGCTGAGCTTTGTTATTTTTAAACTGAGATTTTTCAAGGTTTTCAGAAGCTTTTTAAGTTGTTCTCAATGGTTGATTAATGTAATCTAAGTCATAAATTGAAATTGAACTAGGCACTTTCCTCGTTTCTTCATGCTGAGCCTTTCTAACAGAATCATGTTGGCATTATTTCTTATGACCAAGTTGATGGTGATATTGAATAATTCAGAATGAAATCTGGCTTGACAGATCATACATATAATTTCTTGTTTGTTGTTAACAGTAGTTCCTCACTGAAACATAGTCACATGAGACTACAGAAGTTTTTTTAACAACAGAACATAAGTTTATTACACAAAAGTTAAAAAAAAGCTGTATGCATGTTATGGTTAAAAAAACTCAACAAGCATTAAGCTAATTTTAACCCTGTTTTCCAACACTATCCACTATTGAGACTCAAGTCCAAAGAAATGTTACTCCTGAGGTTATTGACTTGCTCGCTGAGCTGGCTTGTTTTTGTTCAGACCTTTCATAACCATGCTAGGTAACATCGTCAGTGAGGTCTCTGATGAAACAATGTTGTTCTACTCCGCTTGGAATTTATATTGTCTGGTCCGTTATGGTGAGTGGTGTCATTTCTGGTTTTTGATCTGTATGGGTTTGTATGTGGGGTCCAATTCTATATCAGGAACAAAAACAAAGTTGCTGGAAAAGCTCAGCAGGTCTGGCAGCATCTGTGAAGGAGAAAACAGAGTTAATGTTTTGGGTCCGGTGACCCTTCCTCAGAACTCAATTCCTCAGAAACTCCAGTTCTATATGTTTGTTGACTAGTTGACAGATCACCCCATTCCATCCACTCAACCCAAGAATTCCTCAATACCCTCAAGAACATAAAAATCAGCGACAACAAGATTACGGTATCCTTTGACGTCACAGCTTTATTTACATCAGTTGATATCCCACCAGCCAAAGGAACACTGGCCACATTACTGGAGGAAGCAGCAACACAGACCAGCAGCTCGATCAGCAATGACAACATATTCAAACTACTAGACCTGTGCCTTACCACACACTTCGTCTTTAATGGTCAGGTATACAAACAGATCAATGGTACACCAATGGGGTCACCTATCTCAGGACTCATTGCAGAAGCAGTCATGCAAAGACTAGAACACACCACTCTCCCCGACATTCAACCTAAACTGTGGATCCGGTACATAGACAACACATTTGTCATTACTAAACGCAACAAATTAGAAGAGACCCACCGCCTCATCAACAACATATTCATGGGGATTAAATTCAAAAGAGAAGAAGAAAACAACAATCAACTTCCATTTCTGGATGTCAGAGTTGAGCGTATGACCAAGAGGGAGTTCCAAACCTCAGGATACAGAAAAGCAACCCATACTGACCAAATCCTCAACTTCCACAGCAACCACCCCAACATCCACAAACAAAGCTGCGTTAGGACGCTACTTAAATGGGCCACAACGTGCTGCAATAGTCTGGAACTAAGCAGGAAAGAGGAAGAGCACCTATACAAAATCTTCGCTTTCAATGGATATCCCCACAACTTCATCCGCAGATGCCTACTAAACAGACAACAACAGGAGGACACAGTGTGCCCTAACACACTGGCCACACTGCCCTACATCAAGAACGTATCGGAACTGACAACAAGACTCCTAAGACCACTAGGAACCACGTGGCCCATAAGCCCACAGCCACTCTATGACAAACACTCAACAAGGATTAAAGACCCCATTCCCACAACATGCAGAACCAAGATGGTTTACAAAATACCATGCAACAAACATTACATTGGAGAGACAGGAAGGAAACTAGCCATCAGAATACATGAACATCAGCTAGCAGCAAAACGACACAAACTCTCCCTAATATCTGTACACTTGGACAATGAAGGCCATCAGTTTAACTGGGACAGTGTAACTATAATAGCCCCAGCCAAACATTGACACGCATGGGAATTCCTAGAGGCATGGTTCTCAACTCGTAATGCAATCAGCAAACATATAGAATTGCACCCCATATATGAACCCATACAGATCAAAACCGGAAATGATACTACTCACCATAACAGACCAGACAGTAGAAATTTCAAGTGGAGTAGAACAACATCACTTCATCGGAGGCCTCACTGATGATGTTACTGAGCATGGTGACGAAACTTCTGAACGAAAACAAACCAGGCTGATGAGCAAGTCAACAACCTCACCCACAACCCGAGCTATAGATCTTTGCTAAAAATTTAAATGTTACTCCTATCTCAACTCTATAAGTTCCAATTAACTGACTCTTTCTAGTTTCTCTTTCTTGAAATGTAAGGACTATTTTGTGATCCCTTTCCAAATCTGATGGCCTAAACGTTTTAAATTCCTGGTTTGGAAACTTCACAAACTAGAAAAATACTGCTGCTGCAGTAAATGGTTTCACCTAAACTGAAACTTGCTTCTGAACTCAATTCACAGTTATTCTCAACAAAAGCACTGGTGTTTTCTGAACTGAAAACAAAACTAATGGCGTAATCTATGTATATTGCTTGTCATAAATGTAAAAGAATAAGCATCTTATTCCATAAATATTCCAGGGGTTTTCCCAAGCCCTTGATTGCAGTTATGTGTCTTCTTGGAACTGGTGCATTCAGGTCACTGTTCCAGAATGATGTTCTGGCTTTTGCTTTTTAAAAACAAGCCCTCTTATGGCAGTAACCCCCATCCATCTTTCTCCTTTTTAAAAACAACCCAAATTCGAATAATGATAGTATATTTCACACATCTTTCATCATATAATGACACTCACCGATGAATCTATGTTTGTGCATTTGCGTTATAACATACTGTCATTTAATCTAAGGAACAATGGGTGGTTAGGAAGGTGTCATATTTTATAAACAGATTTCATATATTAATCTTCAGAAAATAAGTGGGGTTCTCTTTTCTGTTGGCTTCCTATGTATGTTTTGCAATAGGATTTGTTGCAGTGGTATGCTCTAGAGCAGGTTTCACATTATGGTGATATTGAGTGCACTGCATAACCTTTCATTTCAGATATCTGGAACTGGAGGCCCTGCAGGAAGAAGGCTAATTTACTGTGGCAGAATAAGTCAACAGTAGTAAGAGTTCAAATCAGAGGAGGCAGCTGTTTGGGGAGTACATTAATTGTGAGGAGATATTCAGAAGAGAATGACATCCTCTCCTGCCTACACTCCCTTGCAATATATTCTGCTTTGTGGCTATGCATCATTCAGTAAGCATTACTAGTTCAACGCAAAAATTGTGTAGGCAGATTATTTGTATTCCCATTCTGCTCAATATGTTGAGCTAGGTTATAGGTATAAAGCTCTTAAATTTTTATTACAAACATAATCTGAAGGTGACCTTTTGTATTATAGGTTTATAATGAGTTGTAACATACTTTATCAAAAAAAATAATTTTAATGTAGAGTTCTAAATTTTATAAAAACAAGCACTTGCATTCTGTAGTTTTTCTGGTGGTGCTTTACTCACAATGAGTTTTTGATCTCAATTTCTTGTAGGCAGGGCCCTTCCAGACAAGGAGGAAAAGTTACTACGTAATTCCTAATGGGAGATCACAGATCAAAAGAGCCCTTGAGCTGCCTACTCTTTCCCTTGGCCAAACAAGATGTAGAAAGAAATCCACAGCCTTTTAAGTAGGCATAGAATCCCTACAGTGTGGAAAGAGGCCATTTGGCCCAACAAGTCCACACCACCACCTCTGAAGAGCATCCCACCCAGACCCATTCTCCTACCCCTGCATTTCCCTTGTCTAACCCAAACACCCCTGGGCACTATAGCATGGCTAATCCACCTACGCTGCACATCTTTGGATTGTGGGAGGAAACTGGAGCACCCAGACAAAACCCACACAGACACAGGGAGAATGTGCAAACTCCACACAGACAGTTGCCTGAGGGTGGAATTGATCCTGGGTCCCTAGCATTATGAAGCAGCAGTGCTGACCACTGAGCCACCATGTCACCCAGTATATTAAAAAACATTTTTATTGCATGTGTAAATAAATTCTTCCAAATTCATGTTCCAATAGCTAGATTACAGACTCAGGTTTGTTAACAAAACACTGTATTTCCTCCAGCCCCCTAACAGAAATAAATTACATGATTCAAATTCTCTGATAGTCTTGTGTAAATTAATTGCCGAATAACAAAGAACCAGTTTGATTTCATAAACATGGAGCAGAAACTAATAGACTTTGATCAGATGGAGTTTAATTTAGATAAATGTGAGTTGCTGCATTTTGGATGGGCAAATCAGGGCAGGACTTATACACTTAATGGTAAGGTCTTGGGGAGTGTTGCTGAACAAAGAGACCTTGCAGTGCAGGTTCATAGTTCCTTGAAAATGGAGTCCAAGGTGGACAGGATAGTGAAGAAGGCATGTGGAATGCTTGCCTTTTGTGGTCAGTGCATTGAGTGTAGGAGTTGAGAGGTCATGTTGCAGCTGTAAAGGACATTGGTTAGGCCACGTTTGGAATACTGCGTGGAATTCTGGTTTCCCCTCTATAGGAAGGATGTTGTGAAACTTGCAAGGGTTCAGAAAAGATTTACAAGAATATTGTCAGGGTTGGAGAGTTTGAGCTATAGGAAAAGGTTGAATAGGCTGGGGCCATATTCCCTGGAGTTTCAGAGGCTGGGGGTTGATAGAGGTTTATAACATCATGATGGGCATGGATAGGATAAATAGGCAAGGTCTTTTCCAAGGGGTGGGGGAGTCTAAAACTAGAGGGCATAGGTTTCAGGTGAGAGGGGAAAGACTTAAAAGGGACAACTTTTTCATGCAGAGGGTGGTGTGTGTATGGAATGAGCTGTCAGTGGAAGTGGTGGAGGCTGGTACAATTACAACATTTAAAAGGCTTCTGGATGGGTATATGAATAGGGAAGGGTTTAGATGGATATGGGCCAAATGGGACTAGATTTGTATAGGATATCTGGTCAGCATGGACGAGTTGGGCCAAATGGTCTGTTTCCATGCTAATACAGCTCTATGAATCTATAATAGTCCAGGTCTCGCTTGACTTTGAACATCACGAGCGAATCTCTGATGAGCACAGAAACAATTCTCCAGTCCATTTTCATGACTAGATCTCGAAAAATTAACTGTGTTTCTCTCTGCACAAGATGCTGCCGGAGCTCTGCAGCACTATCTGTGTTAGTTTCACATTTCCAGCATCCTGCTTTTATAACTGAAGTTACCCTGGAACCATTCCAGTGAATCTTTTTGTGGACTGTCTGCATTAGGTTTTAGAGTTGTGTACCTTGGGAAGTTAGTATCACGGTGTACAGCTAGGCTCTGAGGACAACATGAGACAGGTCAGCCCAGGACCCGGAAACGGAAACGGCAGTGGGGTGGTTGGGGGGGGGGTGAAAGGTCGTTACCAGGTAGAAGATGGCGGCGGGGCTGTTGTGAGGAAGGCTGGAGTTTGGATATTGAGGTGGATTACAGTCACTATCGTGTTCGCCGAGGAAGTGCGAGAGGCACACCGCCAAGATGGGGCGGCGGTCTACTAGCTCCACCAAGAGCGGCAAATTCATGAACCCGACAGACCAGGCCCGTGAGTACCGGGGCCCGGGGGAGGGAGAGATGGCGGGGGATTTGGTGTCGGGGGGGGGGTGTGGGTGGGGGGGGGGGGGGTTTGTGGGAGAATGTTTTGCGGGGGGGGGGGGGAGATGTATTTTGGAGGGCCATTTTGGACCAGATAAAACAGGGCGGCACGGTGGCTCAGTGGTTAGCACTGCTGCCTCATCGCGCCAGGGACCCAGGTTCAATTCCACCCTTAGGCAACTGTCTGTGTGGGTTTCCTCTGAGTGCTCTGGTTTCCTCCCACAATCCAAAGATGTGCAGGCTGGGTGAATTGGCCATGCTAAATTGCCTATAGTGTCCAGGGATGTGCAGTTTAGGTGGATTGGTTGTGCTTAAAAAAAAATTGCCAGGTATTGTGCAGATTAAATGGGGTTACCCATGGTAAAAACCTTGTTTGGTGGCTCAGTGGTTAGCACTGCAGCCTCACAGCACCAGGGACCCAGGTTCGATTCTCTCCGGTTTCCTCCCACAGTCCAAAGATGTGCAGGCCATGCTAAATTGCCTGTAGTGTTCAGGGGTGAGTGGGTTATAGGGGGATGGGTCTAGGTGGGATGCTGCAAGGGTCGGTGTGGACTTGTTGGGCCGAAGGGCCTGTTTCCACACTGTAGGGATTCTATAAATTCTATAAACGATGGAAAGAGATATATGCTCCCACCACCAGAATATCACCGGATAAGAGGAAGATCTGAATTCAAGGTGAATTCCCCAGATCTCCTTTAGAAACTGAATTCAACATGACATCAGTGAGTACATTTCAATGAGTGCTGTATTTTCTTGTAAAGATGTTTGGAATGATCCGAGGTTGCAAAATGTGTTATGTAAATGTAAACTTTTTCACCACCTTCCTGCCCAAAGCTAACCTGATCCACATGTTTATTAAACAGGAAAGGAGGCCAGAAAGCGGGAACTGAAAAAGGTGAGACATTTGAGTTAGACTGTTCATGGCATGCATGTTCTTTGCTACTTGCATGTCTGCTGTTCTTGTTTTTTTTTTCTTCTTCAGTTGCCTTTTCTTTTCCTCCCTGTCTTTTATCCTGTTACTTAATTTCTTCTTTTTTACTGTCTTGACTTCCAAAGATTTTACTATGGTATCCTTCCTTCCTCCTTTTCATCCTAGTTGCTCTTTACATCTTACAGCTCATCCTCAAGACTTCAAACAGACAAGGGGAGATATAGGATCAAACGTAATCAAATTTCAGAGAAGTCTAAGAATAATAAGGCAGTAATTGTAAAGAATTTTAACAACGCAAATATTAACTGGGAAAGTTTTGGTGTGTAAGGTAGGCAGGAAGCAAAATTCTTAGTGTATCCAGGAGAAGATTTTTAGTTAGTATGTAGAAAGCCCGACAAGGGAAGGGGCAACTTTGCACCTAGTATTCGTAAATTGAACCCAACCACTGGAAGGCATTATAAGTAAGGGAATATTTTGGAGATAGTGACATAAAAGTGAGATAAAAATTCTAAATTGAGGAAAGGCTAATTTTACTAAGATAAGACCCAAGTGGACTGTGATCACGACTTGCAGGTAAAACTGTCAGAGTAGTGAGCTATTCAAGGAGGAAGTAGAGTGCAAGGCACATTATGCTTCCATAAAGACAAAGGGTACGAATAAGACCAGAGAACCTTGAATGTCAAGGGACATAAGCTATGAAAGAAAGAAGTTTATGGCAGGAGTCTCTGCAGGAATATAAAATGTGGAGGTGCAACTTAAAAAGAGAAGTTGAGAAAGCATTGGTGGCAGAATAAATGAAAATCAATTCAATCTAATTCATTTGTTCATATGCAAGTTATAGCAAAGGAATGGGCTAATTATCCCAGTATTGTATGTCATCATTTTCTTTGTGTGTAAAGATTCTAGTCTAATTTACACATCATATATCCAGATCCCTGAACATCTTTTCAATCTCCATTTTTCCTGTCTAATCATGTGTTGATATAGCTGCTGCCTCAACTAATAACCTTGAGTAAGATGTTTCTCCTGGCCTCTGAACTAAATCTGTTATAGTTAATCTGTCTCTGTGCCATTCCTTTTTAATCCTCTAGCTATATAACATTCTGTTCAAACTGACAGCTTAGAGGCAACTAGCTGGCATGATTCTGAGCCATTCCCAATGTGAAGATTGAAAGCTTATTTCTGCTGAGCTTCCTGATTTGAGCGTAGAGTTACCTTCCATCTTCCTGGACTTCAATGGTTAAAAAAGACTGAGCCAGTGTTGTCACTGCTGATTGTTATCCAGTGATTGCTAAAGAGTGAGGACAGAATCAACTTGACTGCAGTCTCCTCCAGATACTGTCTTTCCTGTCTGTTGCATAACGAGGAGATTGCTGCCAGCCTCAATATCAGGATTGAGGTGGGAAACAGAAAAGTCCTTGGGTTGATGCTCAGGAGAAGGAATTGCAGGGAAGTAATATCATTGGTATATGGAGAGAAAAGAAACCAGAAACGTTGTAAATGGAAAAGGAGAGATTGAGATTGAACAGTTGACTGTCAGGTTAATTAGGATTAGGTTTGTTGAACACAGAAGAATTGACCATCGTAGCTTTCAGATTCTTTGCCTAAATTGCCAGGGATTGTTTTTTGTTAAATCAACTGCAAATCATGAAAGTATTTTTGATGTAAATTTGAATTATTAATTGATTGAGTCCTGGGTAACCTTTATGCCTACAGAACAAGAAGCAGCGAATGATGGTGCGAGCTGCTGTGCTCAAGATGAAGGATCCCAAACAGATAATCAAAGACATGGAGAAATTGGATGAAATGGGTAAAGAACAGGAATTAGGATATTCTAGATGAATTATTGTGATTTTGTTTTTCCTTTTAAAATTATTATTGTATTGGAAGACTCTGCTGAAACATGGTTGCTTCCCAATTGCATGCTCAGGGATATTAGGGTTTAGTTTTGATGTCTTGGTATATAACGCAATATTCCAATCACCTCTTGAACTGCGCAATTCCAATTGGTCATTGAACAGTGTCCTGTTCTATAATTGGCAGTTTTAGAATCTTAAACGTGCCTACATACGGACATAAGACTTATCAGCAGTGTAGACTATTTGGCCCTTCAAACTTGCTCCGTCACTCAATAAGATCTTGGCTGATCTGTGGTGATATAATCTCACTTTCCTGTCTGCACTACATTAACCCTTAACTCCCTTGTCTATCAAATATCTAAGTCAGTCTTGCATAAATTTAAAGACCCAGCGTCTAATATGATCTGGAGAAGAGAATTCCATACTCTGAACAACCTTTTTATGAGGAAAAAGAACCTCCTATCACTGTCTTAAAAGGGAGACCTTTCATTCATAAACTGTGATCCATGGGTTTAGCTCTCCACAAAAGGAAATGTTCTCCTGGTATCCTACTGCATCCAGTCCCCTGAATATCTTGTATATTTCAGTAAGGTCACCTCTCATTTTTCCAAACTCCAGTGGTTACAGGCCTAACTTGTGTAACTTTTCTTCATAAGATAAGCCATTCATCCCGAGATTGTTTCCTGTTTGCTCATAATTGGAAACATCAAAATGTTGATGAATTTATATCTGATCTTTGTATGATCCAAAATACAGCAGGAAAATCAAGGGACTTGTCACATTTCAGGGTGAAAGATTAAGATTGGGATATAGAGAAAATTATTTAAACAATATGCTGCAGGAGCTTTTTAAAATTGTATCTAACATGCATGGTCATGCTCAGTGCTGTGAATATGCTCAAGTAATGTTGTGAATGGCATGCTCTGCTTTTGTTTATTCCCTCCCTCCCTCTTGTCAGAATTCAATCCTGTGCAGCAACCACAACTTAATGAGAAGGTTCTGAAAGACAAACGGAAAAAGTTACGAGAAACATTTGAGCGGATCCTTCGTCTGTATGAGAAGGAAAATACTGATTTTTATAAGGAACTGCGGAAGCTTGAGACTGAATATGAACAGAAGCGATCACAACTGTGCCAGTTCTTTGATGCTGTCAAGGTGAGGATTCAGTTGAACTATTTGTGTTCTGTGCCACAAAAATGCTGTGTATAAACCTTTTATTAATAAAACTGTCCCTCCTTTTAATTTCTGTGGAATGAATGAATGATAGTCCTTCATTGCACAGTTCAGGATGGATAAATAACAAAACTTTGATGTTGCATTAAATGTGGAGGTGGCAATGTCCAATAATCGACAGTTACTCTGGTCTTGTGCAACAAAACACAAGTGACCAGTTGATCCATGTATTGGAGTGGAGTGCAGCAATTCAAGAAAAGTTTGAAACAAATTCAGAGAATGCTGGAGAAACTCAGCAGGACAGGCAGGTCCGTGAGAGGAACAGAGTTAATGTCTTCTGTCCAGTCTGACTGATCATACAGACTCGAAGTAATAACTTTGTTTCACTGACCACGGATGCTGCCAGACCTGCTGAGTTTCTCCAGCCTTCTATGTTTGTTTCAGATTTCCATCGTCTGCATTACTTTATTTATATTAGAATATTTGAGCTTGATGTATCTAAATCAGGTTTCTAGGGAGTTTAGGCCAAGTTTCTCACTAACAATGTTGCCCACTAAAGAAAGGACACCTGATGTGAAAAATTTCTGCCCTTGTGCAGTAAGGTGTCTCTTTTGGAGTTGGGAAAGTAACAGGAATCTGCAGTTAACTATATTTTGTATTCATTCATGAGATGTGGGCTTCACTGGCTGAGCTAGCACTTATTGCCCATCCTGATTATCTTGAAGAAGATAGTGATGAGCTGTCTTCTCAGACCACCACAGTCCATTTGGTGTGGATATATTCATAATACTGTTAGGGAGGGAGTTCCAGGATTTTGACACAGTGACTCTGAAGGAACAGCAATATCGGTCCAAGTCAAGACTGAGAGTTGCCTTGGAGAGGAACTTATAGCTGTTATTGACTGAGGGAATATGATATTTTTTCTTAAATCTAGTGCTCGCCCTTTTAAATGTCTGATATGTTTATCGTTATACAAGCTCATTATTACTTTTCTCCAAAGTACACGTTTTAAGCTAATGCTGGTTGTTCAAGAACACCTCAGATGGATGTTCCATTTTCTATTGCATATGGAGCAAGTTTAATCATTTATACAAACAAGGAAGCATCTGAAATTTGTGTTTGCTTAAAGTCTGATCAATGACGCTGGCAAGTAGCTGATGGTGTCCTCTGTTGATTCTGTGATTGACAATCCCTAAGGATGTACCCCCACGATACAACAAGTATGAAGCTTTGGTCTGAATTTGCTCCCTTTACCTTTCGTTTTGCTTCACACAAATTGTCAATTGACCAAGTATCATTTACAAAGCAGCTGCAATGACACAAGCGGAAGTGCTAAATGAATCTCTTGGCTCTATGTCAGCAGACACTACTTTGGTATTGCATTTGCTCTATTCTTGGTACTCGCCTCCTTTTAAAGGTGCTGGTTAACCAGTTTTTCCACCATCTTCTGTCAAAATGGATAATGCTCTGAAAATGGAGATGGAGATTTCAAAAAGGATTCATGTTGACCTGTACTGGTGAAGGGAGACAAGCCCAAAGTGAGATTGTCTGTTACAATTACTACTAGCTGTTGCTTTGGCAGAGCTATTAAAGGAAGTTCTGCATGAGATTCACTTGCATCCTGGAGGTTGTATTACCTTTAAATTCAAGGCTGATAGTAACAGACTTGGTGTTTGAAAGAGGAATTATACTGAAATCTGTGAAATGAGTGCAGCTCTCTGCTTTTTGTGGAGAGGCTTTGATGAACACAATTCAAGGCTGAGAATTGAATAAACAAAGACCTATCAAACAATCTCTAGATCTCGTTTGAAGTAGCATGAAATGGTGAACTTTTTAGGTGATGCTGAGATAAATGTGCAGGAAAGTGTTTTTAAATAAAAATGAATAAAGAATTTCAGCTGACATTATGAAAACAGAACTGAAATGCACTTTCTGTCTGAGAAGTGGGTTTGAAAGTATTTAAAACAAATTCCCTTTTGTTTAGAGAATCTGTAACAGTCTAACAATATAAAGTGTCTGGGCTCATCTGAATATTTGCTATTTAATTCACATTATTTTCTGATAAGAACTAAAATTGCAGTGCAATTGGCAATTCACAGGACTCGCCAAAACTGACCTTGCTGCCATCAGATATTTATAATTCCAAGTGCAGCTGTTGGTAGGAGTAGTGCACACTCACTTTCATCTCCTTTGTAATAATCTATCGACTAAAGACATATCTCTTATTTGCAATAGGAAGCCAAAATAGATGAATGAAGGACCATACTTATCAGTACTATGGAATTCCAACATTTAAAGATACAATTGGTTCATTCATACTGTGTAAGCATGCAGGTGTTTTTCTTGTTTGTACAGAATGCCCAACATGTGGAGGTGGAGAGTATTCCGCTGCCAGACATGCCACACGCTCCATCAAACATCATGATTCAGGATATTCCTCTCCCTGGGGCTCAGCCACCGTCCATATTGAAAAAGACATCAGCTTATGGGTGAGCAACAATTTTTTTGTAATAAGAGCCCCTTTATATATAAAATCAGTTGTCAATTGTTAGTACAGGATTTTGGGGGTAATTGAGAGTAATTTGGATTTTTGGGAGTATTCACTATGCAGGGTATTGGCTAATTTTACACTTTCAGTTATTATGGTCAACCAGAACTGAAAGAAATTGGCTTGAGTAAGTGAGATTCACTGTTAGAGGCAAACAGAATCATAGAATCCCCACAGCGTGGAAGCAGGCCTCTTGGCACATTGAGTCCACACCGACCCTCTGAAAAACATCCCACCCAGACCCATCCCCTTACCCTGGCCCTGCATTTCCCATGGCTAATCCACCTAGCCTGCACATCCCTGGATACTGTGGACAATTTAGCATGGCCAGTTCACCTAACCTGCACATCTTTGGACTGTTGGAGGAAACTGAAACACCTGGAGGAAATGCATGCAGATGTGGGGAGAATGTACACGCTCTACACAGACAGTCACTCAGGGTGGAATTGAACCTGGATGCCTGGCACTGTGAGGCAGCGGTGCTAGCTATTGTGCTGCCCTAGCATGTAACATTTTCAAGCTTATCAACTGGAATTTAGAAAGCATTACAATGAACAAGAACTTTTGCATGGTCAGACCATGGATATTTTATGCACTAGATTTTATTAAATGTACAGTGGAGTAATTGTAGAGTTTTTATATTTCTACAGTCAGTCTCCAGTGCATTTCGCTTTGTGTTGCTCCTTGTGTAGCAACATGAGAGATTGAAGAATAATTGGACCAAGGTAATCAGGTATAATGTAGATGCTGTGCTAAAGGCATGCATTCCGTGACTACAAGGGCTGTTCAGAAGCTAAGAATTTTGTGACAAGTAAGTCACCTCCTAACTCCCCAAAGCCTGTTCACAAATCAGGAGTGTGATGGAGTACTTTCCGCTTGTCTGGTTGAGTACATCTCAAACAGCACTCAAGCAGCTCAACACCAGCCAGGCTAAAGCAGCCCGCTTTGTTGACACCCTATCCACCACCTTCGAATTCACTCCTTTCACCACCAATGCACAGGAGCAGCAGTGTGTACCATCTACAAAATATGCTGTAATATCTCACCAAGGCTGCTTCAGTAGCACTTTCTATACCCATGATCTTTACCACAGAAGGACAGGGCAGCAAATGGATGGGAATACAACCAAATGCAAGTTCCCCACACACCATCCTTGGAACTACATCACTGTTCCTTCATTGTTGCTTGGTTAAAATCCTGGAACTCTCTTCCTGGCAGCACTATGGGAAACATGCCCCCAATTTTTTCCTCTGTGATGCGGATTTCTAAGTTGTGCACACGTGCGTGTTTTAGAAAGAATGTTGACTGTGGGTGTGCCTACACCCCAGCGACTGTGGCATTTCATGTTAATTATTGTATTCTGCCATATCTACTGCTGGAAAGACGGAATTACTGCATGGTACATTTACATAGGCAGTTTCCTATTATAAATTGAGACAAATGGAGTTTGTCTGAAATTGAGATGGAGTTTAACCCTGAAAAGTGTGAGGTGATTCATTTAGGAAGTTCAAACTTGAAAGCAGAATACAGGCTTAACGGAAAGATTCTTGGCAGTGTGGAGGAGCAGAGGGATCTTGGGGTTCATGTCCACAGTTTCCTGAAAGCTGCCACCCAGGTGGATAGAGTTGGTAAGAAGGCGTATGGTGTGTTAGCTTTCATTAATAGAGGGATTGAGTTCAAGAGCCGTGAAGTTATGCTCCAGCCATACAAAACCCTGGTTCAGTGACATCTGGAGTATTGTGTCCAGTTCTGGTCGCCTCATTGCAGGAAAGATGTGGAAGCGTTGGAAAAGGTGCAGAGGAGATTTACCAGGATGTTGCCTGGAGTGGAGGGAAGGTCTTACGAGGAAAGGTTGAGAGAGCTAGGGCTTTTCTCTTTAGAACGATGAAGGATGAGAGGTGACTTGATAGAAGTGTACAAAATGATCGGAGATATAGATAGAGTGGACAGCCAGAGACTTTTTCCTAGGGTGAACGTAGCTATTACGAGGGGGCATAGTTTTAAAGTGAGTGGAGGTAGATATAGGGGAGACGTCAGAGGTAGGTTCTTTACTCAGAGAGTGGAAGGGGCATGGAATGCATTGCCGGAGAGGGTAGTGGAGTCGGCCTCATTAGGGGCATTTAAGCAGCAATTGGATAGGCATATGGATGATAGTATAAGGTAGGGGTGGAGGTTAGATAGACCTTAGGTTTAGGATAAAAGTTCGGCACAACATCGAAGGGCCTGTATTGTGCTATACTGTTATATTTTCTAAATTTGCAATGACGATTAAAAATGTAAAATGTGTGTGGACCTATATTTATAATCTCTTACGACCCACTTGGGAAAGTATACTGATTCTCAAGCCTTACTACTCCCAGGGTCTCCACAGGAGTTGATGATTTATTCAAAGCGTACAAAGTCCATTGGATTCAATCTAACAGAACATGCTGACCAGGTTCCTGAATTTAACAACAAATAAGTAAATTGTAATCACAAGTAAACAACTGAGTTATCAACATATGGCTGTATTAGTTAACACTCTAACTCCCTTTTAAAATCCCTACATACACAACAAGTGGACACAGACAAACAAAAAAAAAATTGGTTTATGGATGGAGGGGAAAAATCTAGGACCAGTAGTTAAATAACACTGGCCTACAGGGTTCACTGAGATGATTCATTTGCTGGCCATGACTTTTGGGTCTTCAGTCTCCTTTCTCCAGGTTCCTTCAGTTTTTGACTGGAAGCATACCAGGAGTGAGTTCAGAGGAGGTTCACGAGAATGGTCCCAGGAATGAAAAGCTTAACACATGAGGAATGTTTGAGGGCTCTGGGTTTATACTCCATGGGGTTTAGTGGGGGAGGGCCCTAATTGAAACTTATAGAATACTGAATGGCCTGGACAGAGTGGATGTTGGGAAGATGTTTCCATTGGTAGGAGACACTAGGACCCGAGGGCACAGCCTTAGAGTAAAGGGAAGACCTTTTAGAACGGAGCTAAGGTGAAACTTCTTCAGCCAGAGAGTGGTGAATCTATGGAAATCACTCCCACAGAAGGCTGTGGAGGCCAGGTCATTGAGTATATTTAAGATGGAGATAGATCTTGATTATCAAGGGTTACGGGGAGAAAGCGGGAGAATGGGGCTAAGAAACTTATCAGCCATGATTGAATGGTGGAGTGGACTAGATGGGCTGAATGGCCTAATTTCTGCTCCTATGTCTTATGGTCTTATCAACACACTTTCAGTTTAATAGCAACAGCTTTACAGCAATTGGTGGAGAAAATAAATGGCTTTCTCCAGACTATACTATAGGGAGAGACACACCACCTGCCTTTCCAGCAGTCTGAATATTTCTCACTCTATCATTCATACCCATAAGCTATTCAGCTACCCAGGAACCAATCAGAGAGTTGCCATCAAGCTGATGACTTTAGGCATCCTCCCCTAGTTACACTTGGTCAAACCAATCTGCTGCTTGTTGCTGGCCAAATCTTGCGGTGCATTCCTCCCTGTTGCTGGGCCATCTACAAACAGAACAGCAGTGTAAACACCACACACAATGAGGTTCAGTAACTTGTTTTAATAATGCAACAATTCCTTCCAAAATTTTGTTTTTAAAACAGTCCTTGTTCCATTTCAGTCCACAATCAAAAATGGAAAAAATAAAATGATTGTTGAAATGACGTTTGTAAAAACTATGTCATAGAGAAATAGAGATGTACAGCATGGAAACAGATCCTTCAGTCCAACCCATCCATGCTGACCAGATATCCTAAATTAATCTAGTCCCATTTGCCCCATATCCCTCTAAACTCTTCCTATCCATATACCCGTCCAGATGCCTTTTAGATGTTGTAACGTACCAGCCTCCACCATTTCCTCTGGCAGTTCATTCCATACATACATCACCCTATGTGTGAAAAAGTTGCCCTTTAGGTCCCTTTTAAGTCTTTCCCCTCTCACCTTAAATCTGTGCCCTCTAGTTTTGGACTCCCCTACCCTGGGGAAAAGACCTTGATTATCCACCCTATCCATGCCCCTCATGATTTTATAAACTTCTGTACAGTCACCCCTCAGTCTCCGCTCCAGTGAAAATAGCCCCAGTCTATGTCAAACCCTCCACTCTTGGCAACTTCCTTGTACGTCTTTTCTGAATCTTTTCAAGTTTCACAACATCTTTGTAATTATGGGTTTTAACTTCCTCTTTTAAGACTGTGCTGTGGTCATGTGTGTCATATTGGTTTGAACATTGGGAGTTATTGACATGTATCAAGTGTTGTGAAAGTTCAGAATGATACTTTTAATGACTTTTGTTGAAATGCAATGCACATTGGTTCTTCTTCCCTGCAGGCCACCCTCTAAACCTGTCACGCTTATGCCTCCTCCTTCTCATGGCGTTCCTCGATTACCACCTGGTAAGAAGCCTCCTGGCCCGCCTCCAGGGCCACCACCACCTCAAGTGTTAGCACTTTATGCAAGAAGGATGGGTCCTCCTCCAGGCTTACCTCTGAAAGGAAAAGATGAAGATAATATTTATGATCCTGAGACTGGTAAGGCATTATTTACAGGTAAAGCTGTATATTTCCAATATTTTCTATCTTTATTGTAACATTGAGTTACTGTAATTCTGTGAAAATAGTTCCACAGTGAATGAATATTAGTATGAATGTAATTTCACAGTGAATGTACATGATCCTGATATTTACTTTGCCATTTTAGCAATTCAGGATATGCAGGAGGAGGATGAGGATGATAGTGGGGATGATGATTACACTGGAGGCATGGAGCAGGATCAGGATGGAAATCGGGAAGATCAAGATGAAGACAGTGAAGACTCAAAGGATAAAGATAGTGATGATGACGATGACGATTTTCGACATCGAGATGAAGATGATGAAAATTTAAGAGGAGATGATGATAAACCAGGTATGTTGTCGTTTTCTTTAATTTTTGCCATGTGTGGCCCCTTCACAGAATTGGGCCATGACCCAGACTGCCACGGTAATGCCCAATGATCTCAATATACTGCAGCACTATTGATTGTTCCCAGCCTGCGGATTGGTGGATGTCCAATATTGTGCACTTTTGTTTTTGTAAATTTGGTTTTTGAGCAACTTCTTGATGATGTAGACCTTTGAGGTTGTTTGCTGATTTCATAAATTTGTTAATAATCTTTCTGACTAGGTTGCTATTCAAAAACATTAAGAAAGACAAGAGATTGACTATGTTAAGATATAGATGTGTATTTCCTTGTATTGCTTTTTGCCAGAACAAGGAGACTTTTTGTTTGAGCGTGTATTGCCTTCCCATAGGGCGCATTGTGCGGTTTGCTGATGTGCACGACAAACAAAAGAGGAAGAAGAAGAAAAACCTGAAGGAGCTGACTCCCCTGCAGGCAATGATGCTTCGAATGGCAGGTGTGTAATCAATGGGGAGGTGTGTAATCATTGGAGGCTGCTCCACTACAGACAGAGACTGCAGATGATCTGTAAGTGATAAGGCTACTAGACTTATGACATTCATGTTAGATGAAAGCTAAGCTATATAGCCTAGAGGGGTCCTAAACTTAATCCACAGCTTACACTGTTTTAGCTGATTTACGTAAGGCAGCACTGTTAGACATTACTAGTCTGGAAAATTATAAAGAAGTATTTGCAAACAGAAGTAAGCATTAACTTTTGCGTGGATAGATGGTCTTTCTTTATCTATCCTATTGTTAAGTCAGGTATGTCTATGTCCAGAGGCTAGAAATTTAAAATCATTGGCAAACGATCTAAAAGTTGAGAAGAAGAAAATTCTTTCACTCAGGAAGTTGTCAAAATCTGGAACACTTTGCTTGAAAGCATGGTGGAGTTAATTCTACAAATAAATTCAAACGGAAGTCAGGCACATAATTGGAGATGACGAACTTAACAGGGTTGCGGACACTAAGCAAGGACGTGAGACTAAGCAGGACTGCTTTTTCAATGAATGAACACAGGCATACATGACAGGTTGAATTGTCACTTCCTGTGCTGTAATTTTCCATTATACTAGGAAATGTAAAGACTGTCATGATTTAAATGGGAGTTAACAAATTACAGCTAAGAAATGGCCTCAGCTCCCCCAGATTCTGGAAGTGTAAAGTCAGCAGCTGTTCAAAATCTAGTAACTCCTGTTAGAAATTGTGCGTGAGAATGTTGCTGAAAGTAATTTTAAGGTCCAACTGATAATCTCACCTTGGTCAACCATCTGTAACTCACTACCAAAACCTGAGGAATATCCAATTGTACCTGTTGTCAAAGGATTTCCAGGATTGTGTAACTGTTATGAGATGATAATTGATATTTTCAGGAAAAAGTGGGGTTGGATGGGCCTAGGGACAGGCGATGAGAAGAAATGAATGATTTATTAAATCGCCCTGAGCTAGATATCCACAGATCCTATTCTGAAGTGGCTGACATCAGGTCCCATGGACCCTAAATTTCCAGCTGCTTCCTGTGATTTTAGCAGCTGAATCACCAATAAATTTGTTTAAACCACAATTTATGTTGCCAGTGTTGTAGAGGAAGCTCCTTTGTGATTTCAGTGTAAAGGTGCTTTACACTAGTGAAAAAGTAGCTAGCAATATACACCAGGGCAGCACATTTGATTAAATGCCCAGTTGGCAATATTAAGCTCGGGGGGACGGTTTATTGTGTTTTAAAAACTAATATTTCTCTTGTGCGTGCTAAGTTTTAACTTTCTTTCCTGAGCTGTTCTGATGATGAGTCACTCGCCGATAGCCATCGTGGTCACTGTAAGAGGAATCTGATTAACACGGGGTGACAACCTCTGTAGGCTCTTGACTCTCTGGTAGCAAATCCATCAGTTTTGTTTATTTTTTTTCAGAACTCCTTGTGCAGAATGTAAAATTTAGTCAATATTGTACCTTCTAATAGGTCAGGATTTCCCTGAAGAAGAGGAGGAAGAGGAAGAGGAAGCCCATACTGAGGGAGCTGCAGAAGAGGAAAAGATGGATACTGAAGAGCAGAATCGTGAAAAGCGACAAAGAGAGGAATCACGGCCAGAAGGACCGCAGGTTCCACCACCAACTCAGATGCCCCCTAGGGCACCAATGCAAGCCCCACCAATGCCTGGACCTCCACCTCTTGGTCCTCCTCCTGCACCTCCACTGAGACCCCCAGGACCACCATCTGGTTTACCACCAGGACCACCTCCAGGTAAGAAAACAAACTCAATGGATGCTCCTCCGGTGTTAATTGGTGTGACAGTATGAATAATGGCATTTAGAAAACAAGCACTTGGAAGATTCGTACAAACGTATGAATTAGGAGCAGAGGTGGGCTGTTTGGCTTCTCGAGTCTGCTCTGCCATTCAGTATGATGATGGCTGATCTATTTATGCTCTGAATTCCACAATACTGACTAACACCAATAATTTTTGATTCCTTAGCCTAACATAAATCTGTCTACCACTGCCTTAAAAATATTCAGAGACGCCACTTCCACTGCCTTCTGAGGCAGCGTTCCAAAGTTGCACAACTTTTCTGAGAAAAGATTTCTCTTCCTCTCTGTCTATCAAACCATGATCCCTAATTTTAAAGCAGTGCTGGATAGTTCTGAACTCGCCCACAAGAGGAAACACCCTTTCTACATTCAATTTGTCAAGACTATTGGTGATTTTACACATTTCATTTAAGTCACACTGCATTAAGCTTCACTCTTCTAAACTCCTCCAGTGGCAACAAAGCAACTCTTTCCAACCTCTACTCATAAGAGAACCAAATCATTCCAGATATCCATCTAGCAAACCTCCTCTGAGCATGCTTCCAATGTATTTGCATCTTTCTTTCAAAAAAAGACCAAAACTTCAAACTGGGTTAGAGATTTCGCCTCACTAATGCGCTTTTTAACTGAAGCATAACATCATTACTTTTATGTTCAATTCTTCCAATAAATTCTATTTGCCTTAATTGCTTGCTGTACCTTAGATGCATTTTTGTGACTTGTGCATTAGAACATTTCTATTGATATAATATTCTGCTTTATTGGTATTTCTGTCAAAATGAGCAACTTCACATTTACCTACATTATACTCCAGCTGCCAAATTTTTGCCCACTCACTCCATCTATTGACAGCTTTCTGCAACTTTCTTGTGTTCTCTTTACATATGTTCCTATCTATATTTATGGGATTTACAACTTTAGCTATCATGCCTTTACTCCCCTCATCTAAGTCATTGACGTAAATTGTAAAAAGCTGAGGCCCCAACACAGAGTCCCCTATAAGAGTCCACTTGTCACATCTTCCCAATCAGAAAAAGACCCATGTATGGATATGGATTACTGCCAGCCAGCCAGCAAATCTTCCATCCATACTTGTATACTACCCCTATACCATGAGGATCTACTTTTCACAATAATCTTTTCTGTCACACTTTGTCAAATGCCTTCTGGAAATCCAGGTACAGCATATCAATGAGTTCACCCTTATCTACAGCACGTTATGCCTTCAAAGAACACCTAAAGATTGGTTAAATATGATGTCCCTTTCACACAACCATCGTAGCTTTTCCTGATTATCTTGAGTTTAATTAAGATATTTTTATTCATTTGTGAGATGTGGGTGTCACTGGCTGGTTAGTATTTATTGCCTGTCCTTAATTGCCTTTGAAGAGACTTTGTAGCAGTTGGTACAACAGAGTGGCTTGCTAGGCTATTTCAGAGGTCAATTGAGAGTGAAACACATTGTATAGATCTGAAGTCACATATAAGCCAGACCAGGTGAGGATGGCAGATTTCCTTCCCTGAAGAACATTAGTGAACCAGATGGGTTTTTCCAACAATTGACAACGGTTTCATGGTCATCAGGAGATTCTTAATTCCAGATATATTTTATTGAACTCAAATTCTACCATCTGCCATGGTGGCTTTGTACCCAGATCCCCAGAACATTAGCTGGGTCTCTGGATTAATCGTTTAGCGATTAATACCATTAGGCCATCATGTCCCCTTTGGTGATTGGCTATAACATCCTAAATAGACTCCAATTCCTTTCCACAACAGACATCAAGTAAACTGATCTATAGTTTCATGTCTCTGTCCTTCCTTGAATAGGGTCTTATTTTTGCTACTTTCCAGTCTGATGGATACTTTCCTGAAACTAGGGAACTTTGGATATTAACATCCATGCATCTATTACCTGGATGAAGTTCAACCAGAACCCAGGGATTATCAACCTATAGCTCCATGTGTTTGCACAGGACCTTCCCTCGTCAATGTAATTTTGCCAAGTTCCCCTTTTGCTCCCTCCCCCTGAATTACAGTTACAACTGGAATGTTTTTATATCGTCTATAGTGAAGACAGAAGCTAAAATTAATTTTTCATTACCTTACTGCCTACTATTAACTCTCTTCTCTGTCTCTAGAGGACTAACATTCACTTTATTTGATCTTTTCCAATTTAAATATCTATTGAAGCTCTTGCTATTCTTTTTACATCTTTAGCCAGCTTCCTCTCATGTCACTTTCTTTCTTCTGATTAATCTTTAGTCATTTTTTGGACAGAATATAAAAAATAACAATCATCTGATCTGCACTCATCTTTGTACAATTATGTCTTTCCATATATTTGAAAGTTTCATTAACTTCATTTAACCACAGGTGGTGGGTCGTCCCTTTAGAATTTTTTTTTAAGTTGGAGTACACATTATTCTGAGTATTCTTAAATATCCTCTTAAATAATTGCAGCTGTTTCTTTATAGATCTATCTCCTAGCCTAGCATCCCAGTTCACTTTAGCTCAGCTTTCATGCCCACATAGTTGCCCTTACTTAAGTTTATAATACTAGTCTTTGACCCATTCTTCTCCTTTTCAACCTGGATGTAAAATTCAATCAGATTGTGATCACTACTACCTAGCGGCGCCTTTATTCTGAGGTTTTTAATTAATCCTGTCGTACTGCACAATATCAAATCTAGTATATCCTGCTATCTGGTTAGTTCCAGAATGTGCTGGCACTAAGAAGGTATCTTGAAAACATGCTGTGAACTCACTCCTCATCCAGTCTACCAGTTTCAATCTAATTTTTCCAGTTTATATGTAGATTAAAACAGCTGATTATTGCCATCTTTCACCAGTACCTAATATTTATTTATTTTTGTGCATTTTGTCCTACATTGTAGTTAGTTAGTGGGCCAGAGGATTACCCCAACTAGTGACTTCTTTCCCCTACCATCCCTCATCTCCACTCAAACCAATGCTACATCTCCTGAACCAAGGCCATCGTTAACTGTTGCACCAATGCTATCCTTGATAACAGTGCTACACATTCACCTTTGCCTAGCTTCCTTTTCTTCTTGAATGTCGTATACAGTTCAATATGCAGAACCCAATCCTTGAAATCTTGTAGTTGTGTTTCTGTCCTGGCTATCAATTATATTTATTTACTTCAACAGCCATTATCAATTTGTTTGTTATAAATACTGCACACATTCAGGCGCAGAGCCTTTAGATGGGAGCCCATGATTGCTATGCTATTTAAAATAACACATAATTGCCAACAATTTGTACCTTCTGCTGGATGGGGAGGCAATGGCCTAGTGGTATTATCACTGGACTATTAATCCAGAGACCCAGATACTGTTCTGGGGACCTGGGTTCGAATACCACCATAGCAGATGGTGGAATTTGAATTAAATAAAATATATCTGGAATTAAAAATCTAATAATGACCATGAATCCATTGCTGATTGTCGGAAAAACCCATCTGGTTCACTAATGTCCTTTAGGGAAGGAAACTGCCATCCTTACCTGATCTGGCCTACATGTGACTCCAGACCCACAGCAATGTGGTTGACACTTAACTGCCCTGGTCAGCGATGCCCTCATCCCGTGAATGAATTTTGAAAAGAATTTAAAAAAGGATATCTTGCTTGAGCCTGAATTAATGTGCAGCTAAAAGACACATGGTTGAATTAGTGGTGGAATTTGGGGCAGGGTAAGATTTTGGTGTAAATTCTTCAATTGACGCACAGTTCTCTCTTTAAACATTGTAAAATTGGAGTGCAATTGGTGTAACTGTTCAATTAGGACTTGATCTTTGAGGTAAAATACTTGCCACAGGTATGTTTAAGACATTCTGCAGAGAACTTTGCCTTGAGTAGCTGAAGGGAAACTTTTCAAAGTAGTATCTTGTTCCTTCCATGGATACGCTGAAAAAGGAACACTATAAAAGGAATTTTATATCCTGCCTTTCAGGCAAGGGGATGAGAATCAGTTCTGTCCAATGGGCCAAGGAATACTAAGATGCAAGTGAGATAACAAATAGGATAGCAAAATGAGGGAGTATATTTAAACTTCTATTTTAAGTTGAATTTTGCATTGCAATTCTAAGGCTAAGGCTTGTTCTAGGAGCAGGATAGAGGGATTTATATATTGCATTAATGACTACACGTGATGTAGAGCTCTAATCTTGCCAGGGGTGCTTAAAATAAAGTTTTCTGCCCTTCAGTAATGCAGCCCTTTGCCTTGCTCAGTTGTTACAAAATTAGGTTAATAGAAAAATCTCCTGTCCTTAATAAATCCTTGCATTTGTTCCAGTACTAATAAATCACTTGATTCACAGGCTTTGCCACAAATGCTGAAATCCAATTTGTTTTCTAATTTCCTCTCCTTTGAACTAACCTTGATATTTGAAAATATGTTGGACTTGTCATGGGACACTGTAACTTTGTAAATAATTTTTGTTTAGAAGGTAGTGTAAAATAATACCTCTGTATCATGTAGGATTTATTACTGTGATTAGTCATGTGCAGCCTGGTTGTAATTGTTTGCTGTTAATTGCAGGTGCACCCCCATTCATACGACCACCAGGGTTGCCTGGCATTAGAGGGCCAATTCCACGACTGCTTCCTCCTGGACCACCACCTGGGCGACCTCCAGGCCCACCACCAGGACCCCCACCAGGCCTTCCACCAGGCCCACCACCACGGGGACCTCCTCCCAGATTACCACCACCAGCACCCCCAGGTAAGAAGGACTCCATTAAACTGATCTGTATTCTGATTATGTAACCAGTAGTGACAATACTGTAATGATGTACCTGTTGGTGGGGCTATGTAACATTGGCATGACTCATTTAACACAGTGTGACTTTCTGAAATGTTATATAGCGGATTGCTGCATTCTTCAATCATCCCTCTACAGACTTCCAGGAGTCCCATATAGAGGCAGAGATTTTTCCTTCTAATTTTCAATAAACTATAAAAAGACTTTGGAAATTTTCAAATCAGCTTAAACATTGTTAATTTGACAAGAAAGGAAAATATTCAAGTGTACTTGCTGTTGTCATACGGAAACATGGCAGCCAATTTGCATGCAGCAAGGCCCCACAAATAACAATTCGATACTGACAAGATCATCATCTTTTTAATGTTAATTGTGGGTTAGAGAATGTCTTTGAAATAGTGTCACGGGATCTTTTACATCAGCATGAGCTAGCAGGTGTGGCCTTGGTTTAATGTCTCATCTCATCTCAGACAACACCTCCAACAGTGGCAGCATTCTCTGTGCTGTCTTGGAGGTGTAGGCTTTGATTTTTGAACCCAAGCCCTGGGCTAATCCAAGAAGCTTGTGACTCTGAGGTGAGAATATTACAACGTAAACTACAGCTGATGCTTGATGAATTTGTACACTACATTGAGAATTTGGGAAATGCATGGAGATGCAAGTATTTACTCTTTTAACTTGCTGGGGCTGTAACATGTTGGGGAATTACTGTTGTTTTCCAAAGATCATTCTCTTTTTCATTTTTTTGAAACCTCAATATTTAATAACCCCTCCTCAAGGAATCTTAGCAAAATCACTGATTCGATGACTCCTGCAATTTATTAGTTATATGTTGAAACAGCACCCTGACTGATGATCGATTGTTCTTGATAAACAGAGCTAGGAATCTATAAAATGGTCTGTGGCTGTAAACTGTTCAGTCAAACTTTTGTCCAATTAGTGCATTTTTAGTATAATTTTTTTTTAGTCATAATTGCATCTGACTGAAAGTTGCATGAATGTACCTTTTGCATTGTTTGTTTGTTGAAGTGATATTAATTAAAAGAACAAGTGAGATACATCTGTTCTGTTGAGCATTCTAGATGTTCTCTGAAGGGAAGTGAGATTCTAATGATTTTCTGGAACTCTGTTCCCCAAATCTGACAAATTGGCTTTCTCCCCAGGTATCCCACCTCCCCGACCAGGTATGATACGTCCGCCAATGGCCCCTCCACTGGGGCCTGCACCGCCAGGATTGTTCCCTCCAGCCCCAGTGCCAAACCCTGGTGTCCTCAGTGCTCCTCCAAGTCTCATCCAGCGTCCAAAAATGGATGAGACTGTGACCACCATCGAGAAGAAAGCAATCGCCACCATCAGTGCAAAGCCGCAAATCACCAACCCTAAGGCTGAGATCACGCGCTTTGTCCCCACTGCACTGCGTGTAAAACGAGAAAGCAAGAGTCAGGCACCGGTGAAGAAGGGAGAGGAAGAGATTGTTGCCCCAACAAAGCCAGTACCAAAAGCCACACCTGCTGTCTCTATCCAAACAAAGGACGATATCTACGAATCATTCATGAAAGAAATGGAAGGACTTTTGTAACTAACCCAGATGTGAGCTCTCTTCTTGTCCTGGACCTACCAACTTCTTGGCATTTGTTTGAGATTTGTGTATATTCATTTCTGAGCCTGCTGTGTATTCTTTTCATACATTTGTGAAATTTGAATGCTCGTGTGATGTACAGACTGAACAAACATTATACATGCAGTAAAGCTCAGCCTGATGGTTGAAGTTCAGTAGTTGAGGGCGGACTCTTGTTTGTGACTTTATAAGCACTGCACCCGAAAATCAGACTCGCTGCCCACTTACAGACCTCAAATGAGGGAAGAACTGGGATTCAGTGCATGTCATCATATATAGAAATGTTGTTCTGATCTTTGAAGCTCCTGCAGACATAGCCTAGTACGTTGTATGAGTATTTTATTATTTTCCTTTTTCATATTATGAAAACTCTGGTGACAACATGCTTTAGTCTATTATTCATGGACCTGAACAGTAAGGCACTGCAATTTTAAAAATGTTTATTGTAGTGAATTATTGTTGAATTATTTGATCCCTTTGGGTTTGTTTGAATAATATACATGATGAAGTAAACAGAATTGGTCCACTGACAGTAGCTCTCAATTTTATTTATTTGAAGAATTAGAAGTTAGATTGCTCCCTTGAAGTATTTGCCATTTTTCTGTAATCTCAGTATATTTATAACTTTCCTGTGGGCAGTGTACTATACAAATATATTTGTAACTTCTTGTTTAACTGCACTTAAAATCTGGATAGCTACAATATTATTGATAATGTAGATCATAATATTGTCTACTTTTATTTGTAAAATTTTCCAACAAATAAGGGCAGGAACATTACAGTAAAATATAAATTGCACTACTTTTGTTTCATTAGTGACACCTTCAGCATGGCCCAAAGTGTTTTGCAATCAATGAAGTACTTCAGAAGTAGTTTGGTAGTACAGAAATTCAGTATTGCAGAAAAAAATACACATTTTGTTGAAGTTTTTCATCTTGAACTATCCAGGATCATTCACAAGAAACCAGTTTAAGGGTAATACAAGCTTTAATGTTCTATGAAATGGAATGCTGATTTGTTGGCAAGTGTGTTCTGACTGTTCAAATGCAGTTACTGCAGGCATTCCTACATCCAATCGATTGCAGTGGTTCAAGAAGGCAACTCACTGCCACCTCCTCAAGAGAAAACTAGGGTGGCGATAAATACTGACCCAGTCAGTGACATCCACATCCCATGATGCATTAAAAAGGTTCTAGTCCAACAAGAGGACTTTGGTTCGACTGTGGAATACTGCGTACAGTTCTGGTCGCCACATTACCAAAAGGATATGGATGCTTTGGAGAGGGTGCAGAGGAGGTTCACCACGATGTTGCCTGGTATGGAGGGCGCTAGCTATGAAGAGAGGTTGAGTAGATTAGGATTGTTTACATTAGAAAGAGGGAGGTTGAGGGGGGAACCTGATTTGAGGTCTACAAAATCATGAGAGGTATAGACAGGGTGGATAGTAGGAAGCTTTTTCCCAGAGTGGGGGACTTAATTACTAGGGCTCACAATTTCAAGGTGAGAGGGGAAAAGTTTAAGGGAGATATGCATGGAACGTTCTTTATGCAGAGGGTGGTGGGTGCCTGGAACGCATTGCCAGCGGAGGTGGTAGAGGCGGGCACGATAGCATCATTTAAGATGTATCTAGACAGATACATGAATGGGCAGGGAGCAGAGGGATACAGATCCTTGGAAAGTAGAGGATCTGGATCGGCTCAGGCTTGGAGGGCCGAAGGGCCTGTTCCTGTGCTGTAATTTTCTTTGTTCTATAAAGCTCTGTTTTTGTTTTGTATGTTTATGAAGAAACTCAACAGGTCTGACAGCATCTGTGGATAGAAGGTCAGAAATCACATGACAATAGGTTATAGTCACCAGGTTTTATTTGAAAAAACCTGGTGTTGTGTGATTTCTGACCTTGTCCACCCCAGTCCAACAACAGCACCTCCACATCTATGGATAGAAAGCAGAGTTAGGTTTCAGGACTGGGTTCTGAGGAAAGGTCACTGGATGGACCTTGAAACATTGTGCTGTGATTTCTGTTTTTGTCTTGGATTTCTAGCTGAGCTGCTTACTTTTTTGGAATTTGCAGTTGTTCCAGTTATGCTATGCAAGTGGATGTTGTAAACTTTTGAATGGTAAGAAATATTTCTGCCAGATGACTTTCCAGGGTCTTAACCCTTAAGACATTTATGAAGTATTAGGTGAACACTTGACATGCCATAGGGTAAACTGTTAAGAAGTGAGAATAGGAGTAGGCTGCTCAGCCTCTACAACCTGCTCTGCTATTCAATTGGGTCATGATGATTTGACAATCCAGACTTCCACATCTCTGCTTTTTCCTAGTAACTCTTGATCTTCCCCCACTGACCTAGGATACAGCGCAATGGGCCAAGTGCTGGAAAAAGGGGTGATAGTTCTGGTCTCCCTGCTACAGGAGGGATGTTATTGATTGGAGAGAGTGCAGAGAAGATTTACAAGGATGTTACCAGGACTGGAGGCTTTGAGTTGAAAGGAGGGTCTTGGATATTTTCCCCTGGAGTGTAGGAGGCTGAGGGGTCTCCTTGGAGAAATTTGCAAAATCGTGATGGGTGCAGATAAGGTGAATGTCTTTTCCCTCGGGCAGGGGAGTTCAAAATTAGAGGGTGTAATTTTAAGGTGAGAGGAGAAAGATTTAAACGGGATCTGAGGGGCAACATTTTCACACAGTAGATGGTTAGTGCTGGTAGAAGAAGTGGTAGATGCAGAACAAGTTACGACATTTGGATACCTAGATGAATAGGAAAAATTTGGACAGATAGGGGCCAAACGCAAGCACTAGTTGAGTATGGGAACTTGGGCGGCATGGCCGGGTTGAGTTGAAGGGTCTGTTTCTGTGCTGGATGTTTCTGTAACTAGCTGTTTGATGGGCACGATGGCCTGTCAAAGTGGAAGACTTCAGGAGGTCCCGGTGTGACGGGGATGGAGGGTTCGGGGTTGGTGGGTGGGGTATGTTTCCGGGTGTGGGTGTGGCCTAATGATGCAGCGGTCTCTATGGTAACGGCGACTCCGAGATGCTGAAACACCGTGAGGTAAAGGACGGCGGTTTTCAGTCTTTTCGCTGGATCGTTTAGTCTGAGCGGGAACCAAAGCGTCTCCTGTGACTTGTAGTAACGGCCGAGGGTTTGTCCCCATTCGGGATTATCGAGTTAAATCGAATCCGCGGCTTCTTTTTCACCGGGACGGACCTTAGGCCCCGATCCCGCCCTCTTTGTGTTTCTATTGGTCCATATATGCATATTCCGCCTCTTGCGTTTCCCTATTGGTCACATCCTATGATTGACGTCGATTCCTGTGTTTCCATTGGCCGCTGCTAGACTGAAAGTTTTATTCTTGTTTAGAAATTTCATCTGAGACACTCCCCCCC